AGAATGCTCAAATGGAGGTGGAGCTTCCTACTTCACCTACCACTAATCAGAGTACAAATCAGCATCAAGATTCTTCTTCGTCGGATGAGCATGTTGTTGGTGAAGATTCAACACCTTCACAACCACAAGCTACTACTCCAAGCATTGCAAGAGATAGACCGAGAAGACAGATTATTCCTCCGAAGAGGTATGTTGAATCTGATTTGGTTGCCTATGCTTTTATTGTTGCTGATAATATTGAGTCTGCAACGGAGCCTGCAAATTATGACGAGGCTATCAAATATGAAGACTCAAATGATTGGATGCTCGCTATGCAAAATGAGATGGAATCTTTGCAGCGAAACAGTACTTGGAATTTAGTTCCTATTCCGAAAGGGAAGAGACCAGTTAAATGCAAGTGGGTCTACAAGCTCAAGGAACCTGTCAACCCAAATGATAAACCAAGATACAAAGCTCGGTTAGTAGCTAAAGGCTACAGTCAGATTCCTGGTATTGATTACACTGACATTTATTCCTCAGTTGTCAAACATACTTCCATTCGTGTATTGTTGGGGTTGGTTGCTTCTAATGATTTTGAGTTAGAACAACTTGATGTCACTACAGCTTTCCTAAATGGTGAGCTTGAGGAAGAGATTTTTATGCAACAACCTGAAGGTTTTGCAGTTCCTGGAAAGGAGAACTACGTATGCAAATTGAACAAATCTCTTTATGGCCTCAAGCAGTCTCCTAGACAATGGTACAAGAGGTTCGATTCTTTCATGACTAGTCACAAATTCAGCAGGTGCACCTATGATAGCTGCATTTATTTCAAGAAAGGTGACAATGGTTCAAAGATCTACTTAGTCTTGTACGTGGATGACATGTTGATTGCAGCAAAAGATATGAAGGAGATTCAGAAGTTAAAAGACCAGTTGAAAGCTGAATTTGAAATGAAGGACTTAGGAGCTGCCAAAAAGATTTTAGGTATGGAAATTATTCGTGACAGGAAGTCTAGGATCTTGCATCTTTCTCAGAAAAGTTATATTGAGAAAGTCCTAAGACGCTTCAGTATGCACGAAGCAAAGTCTGTCAACACACCTTTTGCAGCTCATTTCAAGCTATCATCCGCTTTGAGTCCTACTAATGAGACTGATATGGCTTACATGGCACGTGTTCCATACTCTAGTGCTGTTGGATCTTTGATGTATGCTATGATCTGCACGCGCCCTGATTTGGCTTATGCTGTTAGCATGGTTAGTAGATACATGGCGAACCCGGGGAAAGAACACTGGAAAGCAGTACAGTGGATTTTTCGTTATTTACGCGGTACGTCTTCTATGTGTTTACGTTTTGGTAAATCTAACACTGGGGTGTTCGGATATGTTGATTCAGATTATGACAAAGATTTGGATAAACGAAGATCAATTACAGGGTATGTGTTTACTCTAAATGGTTGTGATGTTAGTTGGAAAGCCCAGTTACAGTCTACAGTTGCCCTGTCTTCTACCGAGGCAGAGTACATGGCGATTACAGAAGCAGTTAAGGAAGATATCTGGTTGAAGGGGTTATTTGGAGAACTCGATGATAGAATAAAGGTGACCACAGTTTTCTGTGACAACCAGAGTGCTATCTTCTTGAGTAAAGATCAAATGTTTCATGACCGAACAAAGCATATTGATATTCGTTATCATTTTGTGCGGGATATCATTGAAAAAGGTGATTGTGTTGTGGACAAGATTCATACAGATTATAATCCCGCTGATATGTTCACTAAAAGTCTTCCTATAGCCAAGTTCAAATTATGTTTGGACATGGTGGGTGTTTCTGATCGCAGTTGAGCCTGAAGGCTCATGGTGGAGGAAGTATTATTTATTTTTCGGAAACAATTTTTTTTCTCTATATAAAATTTGCAGGTTCTTATGGAAGTTTTTAGAGTTTGGTGAGCTATAGGTTTTGACTAATCGTAAAGCATGACTTGCTTAATTTTGATGTCAAGGTGGAGATTGTGGAAAAGTTGCCTCCAAAATTAGCAAGTGGCAAATAGTTCAGGGGTTATTTCAGTAACTTATCATTTACTATTCATAGTTTGACTATGAATAGTAATATATATGGTAATTGAATATTGATGGACGGCATATATATTGATATGTCAAAAATGGCAGCTCCATTTGAATTGAATTCTTTGACTACGCAACAGTCGGCCAAATAATTGTTTTGCTAAACAATTGTTTATTATTGTCAATGGATGGCAAATTTGGACGGTAAGAAAGTTGTCAAACATTACGGCAATTTGGTGTTAATTGGAAGAAACTTTACGGCTACTCTCCCTATAAATATCTGTGTTGCAGCAGAACAATTGGGTAGAACACAACCAAAAAATCATCCAAGTATATATAGAAAAGTATTACATATATATACTGATACACCACCATGTATTTTAGCTCTCCCACTCTATTTTGTAATCTCTTTCATAATCCCTGTAAACACTGCAAATTATAGTGAATTGTTTCTCGGCTTCCTCCGCCCGTGGTTTTTTCCCGATTTGGGTTTCCACGTAAATTCCTGTGTCTCTATTCTATTTATTTTATTCGTATTACGTTGTGATTATTACGCTTTGATAATTTTTGATCCCATTCCGCATTGAGCTAATATTATTTAAGTCAATTTGGATCCGTCGTATTTTACAACAATTGGTATCAGAGCATCCAGGTTGTGATATTAGCTCGTTGGGATCATTTTATCAAGTAATTAATCATGTCTTCGGTAAAATACGATATTCCACTACTGGATCGTAACACCCGATTTCCGTTGTGGCAAGTAAAGATGAGAGACATTCTCATTCAGATGGATTTACACAAGGCGCTCTTGGGTTTCAATAAGATGCCCGATACATGGACCGAAGAAGAAAAGGAGATGAAAGATCTGAAGGCTTTATCCCAAATTCGTTTGCACTTGTCAAACGATGTTTTGCAAGATGTTCTAAAAGAAACGTCAGCGGCTTCTTTATGGCTAAAGTTGGAACAACTGTTGATGACCAAGAGCTTACCAAACAAGTTGCATTTGAAGCAACGGTTGTTCAATCTCAAGATGATTGAAGGAGGCTCTTTAACTGAACATATATCCACATTTAAAGAGTTAGTAAATAACTTAGAGAATATGGATGTTCAGTATGAAGATGAAGACTTGGCTCTATTCTTACTATCGTCGTTGCCAGAATCCTATAGCCATTTTCGTGATACTATTATCTATAGCCGTGACACTCTAGTTTTAGATGAAGTCTATACAGCTTTGGATTCAAAAGAGAAGATGAAGCATATTACTGGTGGTGGTTCAAGTGATGCTAAAGCCGAAGGTTTGAATGCCAGAGGAAGAACAACAGAGAGAAGTAGAACTTCTCAATCTTTAAACAGAACCAGATCCAAGTCAAAAGGCAAACGAAAGTTTTGCAACTATTGTCACAAGAAGGGACATGTGCTTGAAGAATGCTTCAAGTTGAAGAACAAAGAAAAAGAGAAGACGGCAGCAAATGGTAAACAAGCTAGCACTTCGGGTGAAGCCGATCTAGCTGAGGTCGAAGGTATTGGAGAACTTTTGACAGTTTATTAAGATAAACTGGATTCCACTGGTGATTGGATACTCGACTCTGGTTGTACTTTTCATATGTGTCACAACAAAAGTTGGTTTTACACATTTGAAAAGGTTAACCAGGGCTATGTGTTGATGGGTAACAATACTACATGTCCAGTTCTTGGACATGGTTCAGTCAGGATCCGTATGTTTGACGGAGTTATTCGAACCATGGGGGATGTTAGATATGTTCCTGACCTCAGAAGAAACTTGTTATCTCTCAGTTCCTTTGACAAAAAGGGATACGAGTTTGCTGGTAAAGGTGGAGTTCTCAGGGTATTCAAAGACGGTTCCGACAAACTGAGAGCCGAACGAAAAACCTCAGATCTTTACTTTCTTGACGGGCAAACAATTTCGAGTGATGCTGCTGTTGTGTCAAAGTCTTTTTCTGATCCAGATCAGTCCCGTCTTTGGCACCTTCGACTCGGCCATATGAGTTTTCACGGCATGTCAGAATTGAGTCGAAGAGGTTTACTTGGTCAACAAAAGATTGTTGATTTGGATTTCTGTGAAGACTTTTATATTTAAGTCACATTAATGCCACATGACATTGTTATGGATTTTATTTAAGTCACATTAATGCCACATGACATTGTTATGGATTTTATTTTTAATTTCAAATATTTTAAAATTTACTGTATTATATTAAGACTTTTATATATATATATATATATATATATATATATATATATATATATATATATATATATATATATATATATATATATATATATTCATCTTCTTCGTATCTTTGGTTCAAGAACAAAAAATTATGGATTATAGATGTGTATTCATCGACGAAGGGTTCACAAATTTTTTTTTGGGGCTCAAGCTAAAAATTGCAACTAAGTATCCATGTATTTATCGATAAAATATTATTACAAAAAAAAAAAAAATTGGGTTCAAAACAAATTTTTTATAGGTTCAAGACCCAAAATTATTCATTGTCACCATCTTCTTTTCAACCATATTCATTGAAGTTGCGTTCTTCGACGAATGGTGTTTGCTTATGAATTTTTTTTCATCAAATTTGTGATTACAATAGGGTTTTTCGGTTTTCAGCAAAATTGAATCCCGAACGAAGAAGACGATGAAGATAATCTTTTAACCCTAAATATATTGTACTGAATATATTATATTTAAGATGTTAAAATACACAAGGTTATACTTTGTATAAATTATAATACAAAAAATTAAAATCAAGTTTAATAGTACAAAAATGTGACACGTTTTTATTTTGTCCATACATACACATGGATTTGGTATGTGTGTAACAGTGTAAGGGTTAACTTTGTGAATAGATAAAATCTCAGGGTTAGTTATTGAATAAATGAAATTAGAAGGTGAAATTCAAACCAACACACATCGATAGTTACAAACAATTAGTAGTTACGAGTCAAGCCATGGAATGAGTAGTTGAGTACGGCTCCAAAAGAGAAGCGTCAGCGCCCGCCACGATTTCCACTCGGACACAATATCTCCGCCAGTACCACATCAGATTCGTAATGGCGTATTTCTTGAAGAAGTTTCTGGAATCTGCAAATCGTTTGAATTCGAGTAATTCCAGTTCGATCTCATCACTGAATTTGAACTTCTCGATTTCAAGTCATGCATCTGTATCAGATCAGATTATCGTGTGTTCGTCGTCAACTGGGGAATTTGACCGAATACCTATTGATATATTTATGCAAATTCTCAAATTACTTGGACCTAAAGAGGCGGCGAAGCTCATAGTTGTTTGCAAATCATGGAAATTAATCGTCTCTTGTAATAATTTGTGGATATATTATCTTCAAAACAAGAAAGATCCCTGGGACGCGATGTTCTTCGCTGAAAGCAACTTACGATCCGGTTATCCTCTTAGGTACATTTTTTTCGCTACTTATGAATTTTTGAACTATATGAGTTCATTACAGAAGGATTTTGCACATTAAAATTCTCATATTACGCGTTACAAGTTATTCCTAGGGATATTCATTCAGATTCCTCTTAAATGTAATTGTATTGAGAAAATATGTGTGCTGAAATTGCAATTAGGTATTACATTCAAATGTCAAATAAACTGTTTGTTTTAAATTTCATTTTTGCTGCAGAAGTTATCCTTCTCAGATGCAATCATTTATGCAAATTTATGGGCAACGAGCTCAGGTTCCTGGAGCTATTATCATTGATGGTGTGTATGCTTCAACTTAAACTACTATTAATTATGACTATTTTAGTTGAATTCTGTTTGTTCCTTGATATTGATTCTAAACTATTAAGTTTCTTATTCTTATATATCCTGATAAAAGGTGGTTCTGGCTATTGCAAATTTGGTTGGAGCAAATATGGTTCTCCATCCGGGCGGGCATCAACATTTATGGTAAGCAACTGCAACTGCAACTTCAGTAGCATTTAATTTGATGACTTTGGGTTTTCCAATCTATTTTCTTGCTTTTTAGATGGTAAATTAAAGAATCTACTTCCATTCTTTGATATTCTAAAAGATGGATTGTATCTGTGTCTGTATGTGTAGGAATTTGGAAACATTGAGTCTCCAGTGTACTCTAGGCTTCGCCATTTTTTTGCAACAATGTATAGCAGGTGTTCTTCTCATTACTTACTTTCCACATGATATTTAATATTTTCTTTTCCCTTAGTTGAATCTGTAAATTTTCTTCAGAATGCAGGTGAAACCATCTTCACAACCAACTGTTGTCTCAATTCCAATCTCCCAATATGGCGGTATACTTTCTGATAAATAATATGAGTTTTTATTTTTTACAATTTATGATGTGATTTTGTGAATGTGTTTCAGATAGAGAAGCTGCTAAAACTGCTAGACGACAACTAAAAGAAGCTGTCTACTCAGCACTGTTTGACTTGAATGTTCCTTCTGTCTGTGCAATCAACCAGGTTTGACCATGTTTGTTGACTTCATAATACAATATATATTCGGATCCCTAAAAAGTTGATGTTGTATAATCAATGTGTGCAGGCAACTTTAGCTTTGTTTGCAGCAAAAAAAACCTCAGGAATTCTTGTGAATATTGGTTTTCATCAAACGTGTGTTGTACCAAGTATGCTATCTCTTCCCTTCTTCATCTTTCTACCATTTGCATGTAATTTTGAAGTCTCATCAAAACGTTTTATTTCTATGTTATTCAGTTTTAAATGGTAAGATTATGCACAAAGTTGGTGTGGAAAGTATGGGAGTTGGAGCTTTAAAGCTTACAGGATACCTTAGGGAACAAATGCAGCAGAGAAATCTTAATTTTTCCTCATTATACACAGTGCGCACGTTGAAAGAGGTATATACATATATATATACATATATATATATATATATATATATATATATATATATATATATATATATATATTACTGTTTTAAAAGAGCATTGATGGTATTTTGCGTAATGTTGTTGGAATAAAATGGCATTGCAGAAGCTTTGTTATGTTGCTATTGACTATGAAGGTGAATTACGAAAGGACACAGAAGCATCATATGAAGTTCCTGTTGAGGGTTTGTTTACTCTTAAGCAAGAAAGATTTCGTACAGGAGAGATTTTATTCCAGCCACGCATTGCAGGACTGTATGTACTCCTTAAACATATGATACATACATCATATCAATCAATCAAAGTTTATTACTTATATGATTGAAGGGGTATTTTGGTCTTTTTGTTATGTAAATACTGATACAGGAGGACTGCAAATGGTTTGCATCAAGCAGTGGCAATTTGCCTTGAGCATTGCCATGCTGCAGGATTAACCCCTGATGAAACTTGGTTCAAGACCATTGTCTTGGCTGGAGGCACAACATGTTTACCTGGAGTTGTAGGTACATTAACATATCACTGCTGTCTGCTATTGCTATTTTATTTATATATATATACACACACACACAGACATATGATGGTGTTATATGATGATGCGTGTAATAAAGTGATGGATTAGTAAGTATTTTGGTAATGCAGAAAGATTAGAGAAGGAATTGCATGTTCTTCTTCCTCCATCCATATCCAATGGAATTCGAGTTATTCCACCTCCACATGGTGCAGATTCTGCATGGCATGGGGCAAAGCTTCTCAGCAATGTAACTTCTTCTTCTTCTTGTGCACCCATTTCCTTCATTCTGGTTCCGTCTTTAATCACCAAATCTTTGGTTTTTGATATGATGTGATGCATGTTTTGAGTTACATAGATTGTGGTCCTTGTTGAATCAACTTAATATAGAAAGTGTTAGGTTTGCTGGATTTAACCAGAATTGGATTTTAATTCCATTCCAAATTTCCAATCCTCTGTTTGGAAATTTCAATTCCTTTTGACAGATTCCAGTTTTGTCCAAAACATTTTCTTGAACCAAATGACTCTTAGAAAATCTCATGGGAAGTTAGAAAACAGTTAAAAGTTTTTAGTCGTTACTACATCAACTTTCTATATAAATCTTAATTTAAGGGTCAATGACTAGTTTATACAACAAAATTACATACTATTATTTTCCAAATCATACAACGGAATGCCAAAGTATAACAAAGGGGTATATTCTAATGGAGTCATATTCGTTAAATTCTCATTTCATTTCCATGTAGCTAAGCACCTTTCCGAATTCTTGGTGTATCACAAAGAAGGATTTCCGACCAAAGTCCAGAAGAAACTTCATATGGTGAACTTTTGCTTTTGCTTTTGCTTTTTGATATTTATTATAATCATAAGCCGCCAATAGGCATCTAGGATGATAGGATCGTGTTGTTATGCTAGTTGTGTATGTAATTATATATGCCTGATGTGGCTAAGGCTAATCAGAAATCATCTTGTGGCATGTTTCTTTTTCCCCCCATTAGGTTATGCATTGGTAAATCATGTATGTATGGATTAAATAATGTATACAAAAGTATGTTGTATTTGATAAAATGATGTATACAAAATGTTTGTTGTGTGTAAAAATTATGTATACAAAAAGTTTGTTTCGTTCTTTGATTGAATAAATTATTATAAACCCAAATGTATGGGGGCACAACATCATTAAATAATAATCCAACTAAAAAAAATTCTAGAAAAATACCTTGAAACTAGCTCTAATTAATTCTCATATTTATTTAAATTCAACCATACTATTTCAATTCATAAGGGTACACCTGAAACAACATGATTGACCCAACTAGAAAATCAAACCATTTCTTGGAACACACATAATGTGTTCTTGTACGTACCATTTCTAGTTTACACTCCAAGTTGTAGAATCTCCGGTAGACATTTTATCGAACACTTGGTGTGTGATCTTAACTTGGCCATCAACAATAACGCGTTCAGACGACCCTATGTTGTCTGAATTTAAATACATGTTTATCATCGAGCTGTGTATATATGTGTGGCAGGTTTTATTCCAACTTTGATGATTCGTGCATGGAGTTGTTATCTCCCAAAAGGGATTTTAAATGAGAACAAGCTTTTAGAATATATGTGTATGTGTGGTTGTCAGATGTTAGGGTTTCATCTAAGAGTTTGTTCTAAAGTAAAAGTGAATCATGTTGGCGATCAACCAAAGTTAAGCCTCTATTAATAGTGTTGTAGGCATATACATCGGGCGAGGGAGAATGAACCGTGTCACATAGACAAAGCTTCATTGATTAATTTTGTCATGTTAATCTATGTCTGATCAATCCTAACACCACAAATTGGGTGTGTAATTTCCTGGTTTCCTTCACGTTGTTGAATATTTGCAACAAACATGACATGCACAGCAGGTGATGACAAAATGCCATTTATTCTATCATAAAATGCTTTAATGATAAAGAATGATCAAAAGTAGGGGAGTGGAACTTGATGTGATGTAGTTGGTTTTCTGATTGAGGCATTCCTAATGACCTCTTTAACGATGGACACAATGCCAAGATGGATCAATGTAGAATTGAGAATACACAAATACAAAACTTGTGAGTAATCAACTTTACTTTTGTAGCGCTTGAGATAAGCTTAGTTGGAGTTGCAATGATTTTTGCCATGAAGGCACAAATGCGTTATTGTATGGTAACAAGTGTAAAATTTCCACCGATCATACGAGTTGCAATACATCTTTGATGGAAAAAATTGAGTATAAGACAAAGAAATTGTGAAACCAAGAGATTGAGTTGGTTTTAAAGCACAGTACAACGTCAAGTTTTACGTAGGAGACACCCTTGGCACTTGTGAAACTAAGAGATTGAGTTGGTTTCATTGACTTCCATCCTCTTGGGTCTCTTCTATTATTTCCCTAAGATTCTTTTCAATGGTTAAAATGTTAATTCATTAATGAGAAACAAACAAATAAGGAGTGTGTTTTCTTCACAGAAGGCTGAGAGAGCATAAATTTGGAGAGAAAGAGGGGGAACAATGAATGACTTTCCAACCTCTAATCCTACTATAATCCATTAGTTATACACTTAGTAAGATCCCATGACACTCCATATCTGAATTCAAGTCCTCCCCAAATGTTGCTAAAACCAAGATCATTTGGAGGCTTCCTATGAAGAATGAAGATATCGTCACTCAACACTAGCCTTGACTTTGTGCCTAATGTTTGTTTCTTATCTTTGTATTTGTGTTTGATTATGCTTTGTATCGGGATTTACATCATGTTCTTTCCCCTTTTAAGTTTGTTCTTTAGTTAGTTAGGTTGTTTTGGTCTCGGGTATGTCCCAGGAACCTTTTATTTTTCCCCTTAGGTTGGGAGTCCCCAACCTGCAGTTATATTTTTTCTTCTTATTAATAAAATTTAATGGAGGTGTCGTCCTCCTTTACCCGGAAAAAAAAAGACAGAACTCCTTATCGAAAACAAGGCATAATCGAGAAGGAGAAAAGAGAGGGAAAAGGTGATATCGGTGGTAAGTTCTTGACATCTTTCTTCTTCCTATCTATTCTTTATACTTTATAATCATACCAACATTATTGAAGCTTGATATCATATAAGGGAGATGAAATATGAAAGAGGCCTATATAGAGAACGAGTATCGATAGAGATGGAAAAAAGGGAAGAGTGAAGAAAAGAAAAGATTTTATAGATTTGAACACTTATTCTTGCTTTCATTCAGACTTACCAAAAGGCCTTTGGCCTAACGGTAAGGAGTGATCCTCTCAAATGAGAGGTCATGAGTTCAAGTCTCTTAAGAGAGATAGGTGGTATTTAGGAGTAGGTTTAAATAGTTTTCCGTTTCAAAAAAAAAGTTAGAGAGGCTTTGACCAAGCTTTTCTTAATAATGAGAGAGAAGAGAGAGAGAGAGAGAGAGAGAGAGAGAGAGAGAGAGAGAGAGAGAGAGATTTTGAAAGTTTTTTTTTCATTAGAACCACAAGTTAGTATATGTTTGAGATTGAGATTAAACCAAAACATCCTTGTTAGAGTACATGAATCAAGTCTATATTGAAAATAAGTTTGATTTTAGTATTGAAATCATCAAGTTGTGAAAGCCTTCAAGGCTTTGTTGTAACTTGTTATTTTTATTTTGAAATTTGAATATGTAACAAAATGCTTAAAACCTTTTGAATTCATGCACGAGACCATCACACACTATAGTAGCTTCCTATTTACTCAAATATTTTCGAATGGTCAAAACCAAAGAACAAGCTTTCATGCATGAGACTATCCTACCGGCTTCCCCTCAAACATAGACCCGAGAAGAAGAGTCGCATTAACAACCGCCTTCATCGACGTCTCGAAGGATCACAAAACACCTATTCAACACAAAATAGAGGGACTTACAACAAAAGTTATCTAAATTTTACGGCATCTACAACTACAAGGTAGTGACTCGAAAAAGTGGCAAAAGATGAGATTAATTTTAAGGCGGCACTCGAGGAATACCATGTGAAAAGTAACAAGTTGAATTTTAAACATGCAGAAGCTTGAGATGTTGTAAAATGTTCTCTAAAATGGTCGACGACACCTCTTCCATGGAGGAGTTCGAAACAAAGCAAGACATCCTCGTCAGATGCATGTTGCTACTTCAACCTCAACGACGATGAGGATGATGACGAGATTGAAGAATCCTAGTCCTCGATCGGAAGGGATAAAGCAAAGAAGGTCGCTTCATTGTCAAAAAGTTCGGTCATATATGATAAATAAATGAAGAATTATTTGAACATATAAAAAAATTACTTACACGTACGATGAACATTTGCAGTTCGAGAAAGAAATGTTTCGATGATCAAAGACACAAGAACCTGAGGAACAAGGGGATTTGAAAATATTAAAAACGAATATCCATCGTTTAACCCGAGAAACAACGGAATTTAATTTTTGTTATTATTTTTTTCCCTGAACTGCTAACATACACACTTTTAAATCATACTTCTAAACTTTTTTTTTGTTTATTAGGATGACTTGAACCCTCAACCCTTAAGGAAGAGACACATTTACCCAAATGCCCTTTGGGAGTTATGTTTTGTCATTTTTAGTTAAGTCTGGTTTATGTTATTTTTATGTAATTTTTTAATTTTAAGTTTAACGAAGAAATTATGTATTATTTGTATTAATTTTAATTTTAGTTTAAATGTTTAAAAATAATAAGTATTATTTATATTAAAAATAATAATGTTTTGTTAAAAGTTAAAAAGGTTGATATATGATACATCATATATGGGTATTTTTATCTCCTTTAAAAAATCAGGAGTGAAAAAATTACTTTGGCGCCCAAACGATGAAAGCCGTATATGCCTTGTGGCCAAAAGGAAAATGAATTTATTCCGAGACAAATCTGGATGAATGTTAACCGACGAAATTTGCGAAATACCCTTATAAATAGCCCCATTTAAGAACCCTAAACAAAACATAGAAAGGGAATACTTAATTAATTGTTCGAATACATAGAAGAAGAAGAAACAGCAGCAGCAAGGGATGTTCGAACGCATGGTCGGATGCAACTATTCAAGGTAATACTTCATTATTAATTCTTCCTAGACTTAAAATTTACTATAGTTTACGTGTTGCAAATCATTGTCAATGGAGGTTAGTAAGAGGGAAGAAGAAGAAGCAGCAGGGAGGAGGGAGGAGCAAATTTCTTCATGTCGATATTACTAGGTCTTCTTGCCAAGAACTACAACATTGGCAAATACAAGGTTGGAAATCTTTGGTAACTTTTAATTAAGCTCTTTCGTTACAATCAATATGAAGTTTCATACGAAAGTCTGACCTAATTATATGTATAATATCCCACTTGATGGTTTTCTCTGTTGGACATCATAGGAGTATATGTTTTAAGCAGAAGTCTTGTAATTAATACTAAACCTTTATAGCACATTCTTTTTTCCTTTTCATTTTTCCATCTTGGTGTTGCTTGTAGAAGGCACAAAAACTTAGTATGTGGTTTCATCGTGAACACAAGTGGCTTATGTTGCTTCCAAATGGTGAAGTTCATGTAACACACAAGACCGAACACAGCTCCAATGTTGGAATATCGAAGAGTTGGTAACTCAAATTAAGTTGTTTAACATTGCTTGAATGTGCCGAGTTCAAGATTGAAGATTATCCTTGTTACAACAATAAAAAAGGAGATTGACCAGCCTTTTACTCTCGGATAATATATGCAACACGTTCAAGTTCATACTCTCTTCAAAAGACAAAGACAGTACATCAAGCATTTCAGACTGTAGTCAAACTCGAGAAAAGTCTTTAGAAAGAACAAATGCAATGAAGGTTAAGAATCATTCCACAGTTATAACGAAGAGCAAGAATAGTGAATGTTGTAGGGTTCTTAGAGACTACTTTGATCGTACACATTCGACAAGTGTGAAAACTGATGATCGTGCCAAGATGTGATAAAAGGGGATTTGAAAGATACGGTGATAGAAATTGTAAGAACCCATGCACCAATACTAAGATATCTTTAAAGAGCTTGAAAAGTTGAATGAACAAAGGATGGATTTATTGCAAAATTGATTACTGAATATCGATCACCAGACCACTAAGTGTAGTGGTGT